TATAGAGCTTTAAGATCATGATTAGCATCCTGCTTATCACGTTTGGTACTTATAGGGTGATAACATTTTTACACAAAGCCCGTTGTGTGGGTTGCATTTGATATTTGTACATCAAGGTGCGGTCTGTCCAATGCGGGGAGTTGGAGGAGCAGGAAGAAGAAAAAGGTGCATTTTTGTGATACCTTCACTTGTTACGAGATAAAGTTTTCTGCTTCAGATCCAAACGTAAGGGAAAGCCTGTGGGTTTGGTAGGTGAAGACTAAACAATTTTCTTCTGTCTTAGATGATCTATGTTTAGGCTGAAAATCTGATGGGAGAGAAACACGTTCTATATGTAAGATTACCAAACGCTCCTCTAAATGTTCACAGTATTTAGAGATAATTTTAGTTGCCAACACGCGAATCTATAGAGCGTTTTCCCGAGCTTCAACTAGAGCTTACCAATGTTCGCTTAATGGATGCTCGCAGGGTAGAGCTTGGTTTTCATAGGCTTTTGTGGTCCGCAAGCTGAACAACAATTTGAAGGGACCTCTATCTCTAAAGCATTCAACTTCCTAAAACTTTTCCAGTTTTCCCTAGCGGTTGCGCACAGTAATGCAACCCATTGGAGAGAGTTTATGAGAATCGGATTACCGTCGGAGAAATCTGCAAGTAGAGAGTAGTAAGTGGAAACGTTCAAAATAAACTTTAACAGCGTGTTGCACAAGCTACAGCTAATAAATAACAACAAAAACAAGTATTTGATAAAAACTTACATCCGTTTTGTTGTTTTTCAAGTCGTCTGGAAACAGGAGCGCAATGAATTAGTCTGGTTTAAATTCCCTTATTTTTTCTTATCTTAACTTTTTCCAGTACTTTTGGCACGGGACCAAACGTAGAATGTGTCATTCGAAGAGCTCCGAATAAAGGGCCATGGATCTTGTACAGGTCGAATAATAGGGCAGATGAGGTAATGTTCCCTTTTTGAAAAAAAAAGAATAAGGAAAATTCAGGAAAGGCTTAGGAAATAAAAGTGTGTTCATACGATTAATTGGGATTCATTTTTTAAATTTTGACAACTATGAATGTAATTTAAAACTCAAAGAAGATAGAAAGGGTATTTTTCAGCTCACTATTCTGGACTATAAGGAAACAAAGTTGTATTATCTACAGTATATGCCACAAGAATTGCTTACACAAGAGAAGGAGTTATCTCTACAGTACATAACCGATTGGCTTAGGTACGCCATCCCGCGTTTTAGATTGAATGGGATGTGCATGCGACCGTATGCGACGCAGTCGATAGCGTCACTATCCACATAATTTACCTCAAAATTTTCAAAAAA